GTCTCCCAACTCAGTATCAGCACAGAACACAGTCGGGTTCTGAAGCTTCTGGGTTCTGCAGTCTCAGCTCTAAGAAAGCCTCTCCTCCTCCAAGACCATGAAGCTCTGCGTGACTGTCCTCTCTCTCCTCATGCTAGTGGCTGCCTTCTGTTCTCCGGCGCTCTCAGCACCAAGTAAGTCCACTCTTTCAGCTGCTACTCCTAGAGGCAAGGTGTAGGCAGCATCCATTTTTCTAGTCGGGGCTGGTCCAACAGTGGAATCTGGGGATGGGACGAAAGGGAGCTGGGGAGATTTTCAAGTAGCCTGCGGTTAAATGTAGTGTTTAGTAGACCTTCAGTAATATACAAGTTCCTGTTTTCTTAAGAAATAGCAACCAGTAGACTTGCTTAAGCAAGTCCCTGTCTATTCTGTGCCATGATTTCCTCATGTATAAAATGAAAGGAGTTAGACATGTGCTCTGAAACCCAATCCAGCTCCAATCTTCAATTCTTTCACTATCTTCTCCGAGGATCCTCTATTCAGAATAAGTCTCCTACTCAAGGTGGGTGGGATTGGGTAAAAGGGGCCGTGTTTGGGGATCTGGTAGCTCCACAGAGATGCCCGTTGAATATCCATAACTAGAAGCCAAAATGAACAGCTCCTTGTAGAACTTCGATCTCACCACAGCCTTTCTTTCCAGTGGGCTCAGACCCTCCCACTGCCTGCTGCTTCTCCTACACCATGCGGAAGCTTCCTCGCAACTTTGTGATCGATTACTATGAGACCAGCAGCCTCTGCTCCCAGCCAGCCGTGGTGTAAGTATCAACCTCAGGCCACTCTGCAGGGCAAGGGCAAGGGCAAGGGCAGGATTAGATAAGGGGCCTATTTGGGGGCTGGGGGGATCAAGCATTAGGGAGGCAGATCTCAGGGCTGAAGCCCTCCCAGAAAGCAGTGAGGAATATGTCATGAAGTCACCTGTTGAGTCCTGGAAGGGGCTGGGTGGGAACCAAGGGGGAGGGGAAGGGAGTTTCTGGGGAGGAAGTTAGCCAGAGGCCAGGAAACCAGGGCAAGTCAAAAAGATTACAGGAGACGTGGGCTGATTTCTTAAACCATGCTTAGAAACACGTGGAAAAGTCACTTTTAGGGGCAGTAGTGAATAAGTGGGGAGATATATCCATATTGATTGCAAACTCGTTGGGTCCTAATCTGGACAACCTGGGAGACCACAGCTAAATGCAAAGTAAAAGTTACAGGTGGTCTTTTTCCAGTACCACCCTAGGAAGGGTCTTCCCATCTGCTAGAGCTGTCCACCATTAACCATGGTCAAGCAGAGGGGGATACCTACCCCAGGCAAGGTCCTATGGGATTCTAATCTGTCCACTCCTTGATCCACAGATTCCAAACCAAAAAGGGCAGACAAGTCTGTGCCAACCCCAGCGATGCCTGGGTCCAGGAGTACATGGATGACCTGGAGCTGAACTGAGCCGCCCTAGATGCAGGGGCAGGATGTCCCCAGGGAAGGTCACCTGAGCCCGACGCTTCTCAGTGAGACACACGCTCTCAGTGCTCACGACTCCTCCCAGTGGTCCCAATTCCTTCTCTAATTTAATCTTTCTTATGTGCTGTGTGATTGTATTTGGTGTTATTTCCATTATTTATGTTTGTTTTGCCAAAGGACACGTGTCCCCCATGGGGATGGTCCACCATCACTGTTTCTCTGCTATTGCGGATATGTGTATAATGTAGTTGGTTCCATGTGTTTTCATAATAAAAATTTTTTTTAAATGTAGATAGTTTCTTTGTGTTTTAATTTGATTTGGGGTAAAAGGAATTGCCTGGTATTATTAATAGGGACAAACTACAGGTTCCAAAAACAATAAGAATGAGCAATTACTGAGCACTTAATAAGTGTTCTGGGCAAAATACTCTAAAAACACCATCTCACTTAATACTTTCAACAAGGATTTTAACACCCTTATGAAGTAGGAAGTGTTACACCCAATTTTACAAATGAAGAAACAGAGGAACAGAGGTGCTGTGACTTGCCAAGGCTTGTAGGTCTCTTTGGGGAGCATCATGAAAGGATGATCCAAAAAGATGTGATGCTAAGGGTCATCATTTCAACATCTTGTAGGGAAACTGTAAATAGCAGCAGCAGCACAATATCAGGGGAAGACGAAATAGTTCAGAGTAAGAAAATTGGGTCTCCATCACTGATTATCAGTATATCATTAGGAAAGTCACCTTGCCGTACTAAACCTCAATGTTCACACCTGTAAAGTGGGGGCAGTGTTATCCACTTTGAAGAGCTGTTATGAGATGATGTGTAAAGGACCCATCATGGGGCCTGATGTCTGAAAGATTCTCTCTGAGCTCAGCTTTTTCACTTAAAATGGGCATAGTGTCTATCCTCCCAGGGTAATCGTGCAGACTAGATTAGTCAGCAGATCAGCTCTCTAAAGCCCAAAGCAAATGTGAAGTGTTATCATGAGGACTGAAGAACAAATGTCAGATTTTGTTTTGGAGTGTTGCAGGAGTAACCCAAAGCCATGTCTCCTTAATAATCCTTCTATCAGAACTTCCTATTACTTGGGTCAGAGAGAACATGGTTCTGAAATAGAATTACACGCACCATCAAGCCTTGATCCATGGGACATAGAATTGTAGTCTTTTAAAGTGGGGTGGGACCTCTCAGACCATCTGGTTCAATCCTCACATTTTATGGAAACTGAGGGCCAGGGACTGAGACGTGACTTGCTAAAGGCCACTCAGCAAGTGTGTGACAGAGCAGGACTCTAGCCAGTGCCAAATCTCAGGTTAGTCCCCTTTTCTGTGCTCCTTGTGACATGCCTCTGTGGTCCCCCAAAAGATGACCCATTGTGTAAGTAGAGTAAAGGGGACGACCTTGAAAATCATATGAGTGTTCCTAGTCCAATTCAAAAGGAGAACTGGGACCCTGTACCTCTCTAGGGCCATCAGACACAATTCCCTTCCTTTCCCTGTCGTCAGCCACGGCCATCATCCCAGAGCCCCAGTAAAAACCTCCTTCAGATTCCACAGGGACTGACAGAAGGAGGTTGGGGGCAGAGCTGATCCAGAAAGGTGTGAGAGGAGGCTGGTAGCAAAGAACCTGCCTGGTCTTAGCTTCTGCTTTTCATTTGCCTTGATCTGAGCTGTCCAAAACATTAGCCACTAGCCACAAGGGGCTATTTAAATTTCAATTAAATTTAATTAAAATTAAATAAACTTTAAAATTCAATTCCTCAGTTGCACTAGTCATATTTTTCAAGTGCTCACTAGCCACATGTGGTTAATGGCTGCCATGTCGGAGAGCACAGATATAACATTAGAACATTTTCATCATTGCAGAAAGTTCCATTGGATGCCACTGTCCTAGAATATTCTTAGGGCCTAAAGGGAGTGAAAGGAGGGGGAGTTGGGGTGCCCTGGAAGGTTAGGGTGTGGTCTTTGGAGAAAGATACACAACTCTTTGCTGAATGAAGGGGTTGGGAGAGAGGATGGATGATCCTCAGGCCAGAGACAAGGTATAGATCACCATGGTAGGCTGAATGATGGTCCCCAAGATGTGCACATGCTAATCCCCAGAAACTATGAAATTACCTTATATGGCAAAAAGGACTGAGCAGATGTGTTTAAGTTAAGGATCTTGAGAGGAGAGATTATCCTGGATTATCTGGTCCGGCTCTAAATGTAGTCATAAATGTCCTTACAAGAGGGGACAGAGGGAGATTTGACACAAATGGAAGGGAAGGCAATGTGACAACTGAATCAAGATGCTGTGCTGCTGGCTTTGAAGGAGGAAGAGGCCAAGAGCTAAGGAATACAGGAATGCAGCTCTAGAAGCTGGAAAAGGCAAGGAAACGGTTTCTCCTCTAGTGCCTCCAGAGGGAGTGCTGTCCTGTCAACACCCTGATTTCAACTCAGTGAAACAGACCTTGGACTTCTGACCTTCTTGGGGGAGGTCTTCAAGAAGATGTGACCACTGGTTGACCCTCGAGCTGGACCAGGGCGATTGGAGGCTCCCCATCCCCTCCCCTATTCTTGGAATGTGGGTTCCGCTTGCCTTCCCCGTGCCCAGAAGCTGCTCCAAGGATACAACCTTGAGATAAAAATGTGGTGTTGAGGCTACCTGGATGGTATACGTGACTGAGCCCAGTTAAGCCCTCGGTATAAACTTTTAATATTTGGCAGGCGGATGTGGAAAACTACTTGTCTTGCGGCCACCCAAGACAAGCCTCGTAAGTAATTCTTGTGTTCTATAAAACTGCCGCTTACCAATCTGGAGTGGTCTGCCTCTCTCTTTAGTCTCTCCCCACCCTCCACATATGGGGGATGGTTTCAGATTATACCTGGGAAGCTCTCGGGGAGGTTGTGAACCAACAGACCTCCAGAACTTTAAGAGAATAAATGTGTGTTGTTTTAGGACACTAAGTTTGTGGTAATTTTTTACAGCAGCAATGGGAAACTAATACAATCACCAACTGACAGTGACCCCCTCCAGCTCAGTGTGGAAGGGAATGAAACATTCTAGAAGGAGAGACAAACTTCCCCACAGGAGAAACCTGGAGTGCAGTGGACATATTCCAAAGTGATGGACTATAATGAGGTGAGGCATCTCAAGAGGATGGTGTGCTTCAGTAGCTGATTGTGAGGGCTGAGGCTTCACCAAGGGTGCAGAACCCACCAACCAGGTTAAGAGGAGGCCTGCCTCTTCTTAAGACACCTATGGCCCTCTGGGGAGATTTTGGATTCCTACCTGGAAGAGTCCATCCTCTCATTTGTCAAATGAAGTCCAGAGCAGAGCCATGACTTGTCTCTGGTTTCATTATTAGACAGAGGACAGGGTTAGGGCCAGAATCTGGGTCTCCTTTCTCACAATGGTGTCCTTTTCCCTACACCTTTCTGTCCCTGAGCAAATTGGAAGGGAAGAACTCAGTTCCACAGAGTCTGCATCACCAGGAAAGGCTGCAGGAGACTTGAATACTCTCATGAAGAAATGCTTCACCCCAGAATTACAAGTGACAGCATGGAATCCTCGTGGTGGGGCAATGTGGGACTTTATCTGTTGCACAATATGAGACATTGCTTTTTGTTTTCTCCTTTTTTCATAAAGCTTCCTTTTCTTACCCTGAGACCAGGGAGCTGGTATCTGCTCACTTGACTTTCCAGTTGTGGTTTTTCCAGGTTTCCAGATGGGGCAAGAGTCAAAATAGGCAAGGCAGGACAGGAATGGGAGCTACTGTTGGTGGAGTAATTTCTGGATACCAGGCATGTGTTTTTCTACTCTCTTGCAGTGCCTGCCTCCCCAGTTTCCCTCTCCAGATGGGAGGGAGTCTGTTTCCTTATGTTCTGGGTCATGCAAATTTTCTGTCCTCTCCCTATCCCACCACAACCCAGAATGTTCTGTAATGTTCCCATGACAAAGGCCTTTTCCTCCTAAGAGGCCAGGAGCTGAGCAAGCAGAAGCAGGGGTCAGGAATGTGAGCTGAGTTCAGGATGACAAAAGGAACCACAGTTCTTCCTGCTGACTGAGCTGTGCTGCTACATGGCGGGCCTGAACTGTTTTCCAAACTCTTCACAGACCTGCGGGACTTGTCCTCTCTCTCTTTGCTAGCTGTCTCCATCTGTTCTCCCTTCTCAACTCTTCTTTTCTTGGGTTCCCATTGAGTCTAGGCAGACAGGAAAATGGGAAAAGATGTAGAAGTTGAGAGTCACATTTGTGACTGCATTTTTCTACTTTTAAAACAGTTTCATATTTAGATACATAGTCCTGCATTGCTTAACGACGGAGATACGCTCTGAGAAATGCATTGTTAGGTGATTTTATTATCATGCCAACATCATAGAATGTACTGAAGCAGAACAAAATTTTCCACCTCAGAATGTGTCTCTTTAACATGAGGATTATTTTTAATAAACAAAAGACTCAGAAAGTTTTTCTTATTACCTCCCCTTTAACTGCCTGAAATAATTCAGATGAAAAAACCTGTCTCAGGAAGCGAGCTATCACCTCAACATAGCATGAACTATGTGGTAGACTGGGAGGAACCTAGAGAAGCCTGTTTGTTGGGCTCCCCTCTGTGTTCTTCTGTTTCTGTGTGGCCAAACAAGCACTTGTTTGCCAAACTTTTGCTCCTTTTCACCTACCTGTGAATTGCCTTCTTTCCCTTTGAAGTCTCTAACTCTCCCCACCCCCAGCATCTTCTTTTGTCTTTAACTGAGGATGGTATTTAAGGTGAGGGCTTTGGCTGCTGTGGTGAGTTACTTGGTTTTCCTGGGTTTCTCCCATGTATATACGTTATTAAACTTTTGTTTATTTTTCTCCTGTCAATCTGTCTCATGTCAATTTAATTCTTAGACCAGCCGGAAGAAACTAGAAGGGTAGAGGAGAATTTCTTCCTCCCCTACACTACTTACGCAAACCCAGAGGGTATAGCCTACTACACAACTAGGCTTATGGTACTAATCTTGGGACCACCATTGTATATACGGTCCATTGTTGACTGAAACATCGTTATGTGGTACATGGCTGTATGATAATTGTGTAAAATATATGCATTCAGAAGAAAAGAGAAAATTACTATTTTTTTAAAAATTTTTTGTTTATTGCAGTAACATTGGTTTATAACATTGTGTAAATTTCAGGTGTACATCATTATACTTCTATTTCTGCATAGATTATATCATGTTCACCACCCAAATACTAATTACAACCCATCACCACACACATGTGCCGAATTATCCCTTTCGCCCTCC